TGATGTGAATGTACAATATATATGTAAAGCCCTGTGTAAATTGACGTCACTATATACTGTAAGTACTGAAATAAATACATTTGTTGAACAAGTTGGACTTGTGTCTTTGTTCAAACTAGCTATGTAACTAAGTAGAGACACAAATGTGTTTTTATTTTCAAGCATCTATGTGACGGAAGCGTAGGCAGGACAGAACACACAAAGAAGATGGTAAACACACAAAGTTTTATTGAACTATGGAAAGCACTCAATCAGGGTAGGAAGGTAGCGTCCAGGTACCCAAAAAGGGGAAGAGAGGGGGAGGAGCCCACAATAATTGTAATCCAGCCCACGATAGGGCAATCTATGTAGCGATGGCCCGAGCACTCAGGGGGGCAGTCCAGGTAGCTACGATACTCCAGACACGTAATAGGCAGTTCGAGCAAGTATTAATCCTGGCACACAATAGGGGCAGTTCAGTCAGCACTGATTCGGGCACTCAATGGGGCAGTTCAGGTAGCAGTAATCTGGGCACACAATAGGGGCACTCAGCGGGGTCTTGGCTGTGGGGTCTGACCTCAGCTCAGGCCTCACACAGCTTTCTAGGGACAACAGCAAGCTCACAGAGACTCATCGGGGTCTTGGCTGTGGGGTCTGACCTCAGCTCAGACCTCACACAGCTTTCCAGGGACAACAGCAGCCTCATGGGGACTCAGCGGGGTCTTGGCTGTGGGGTCTGACCTCAGTTCAGACCTCACACAGCTTTTCAGGGACAACAGCAGGCTCACCGGGATTCAGCGGGGTCTTGGCTGTGGGGTCTGACCTCAGCTCAGACCTCACACAGCTTTCCAGGGACAAAGCGGTCAGCAGACAGGGTTCAGCTCTCCAGGGACAACAGTAGGCTCACGGGGATTCAGCGGGGTCTTGGCTGTGGGGTCTGACCTCAGCTCAGACCTCACACAGCTTTCCAGGGACAAAGCGGTCAGCAGACAGGGTTCAGCTCTCGAGGGACAACAGCAGGCTCATGGGGACTCAGCTTTCCAGAGACAACAGCAGGCTCACAGGGACTCTGTGGGGTCTTGGCTGTGGGGTCTGACCTCAGCTCAGACTTCACACAGCTTTCCAGGGACAAAGCGGTCAGCAGACAGGGTTCAGCTTTCCAGGGACAACAGCAGGCTCACGGGGACTCAGCGGGGTCTTGGCTGTGGGATCTGACCTCAGCTCAGACCTCACACAGCTTTCCAGGGACAAAGCGGTCAGCAGACAGGGTTCAGCTCTCCAGGGACAACAGCAGGCTCACGGGGACTCAGTTGGGTCTTGGCTGTGGGGTCTGACCTCAGTTCAGACCTCCCAAAAGCTGGTCTCTCTCTCTCTTGTGCAGGGGACCAACACAGCGGTCAGCTTGTCAGGGACACAGCAGGCTTGCAGGGGCACGGCAGGGTCTTGGCTGTGGGGTCTGGCCTCAGCTCAGACCCCGCACAGAACCCTGTCCCGAGCAGGGAACAAGCACACACACCAAACTGGGTCCCAGCGCCGGCCTTCTTAAGCCAGCGCAGGACGCTTCCCGTTGCCTCGGCAATGGCCATCCCAGCGTCACGTTGCCGGGGCAACGAGGCACGCCCCCTGACTCTGGCCGCACTTTTGGGAGCGCGACCGTTGCCTCCGGCAGGCGCAGAGCGCGGGAAGCTTTGTGCCTGCGCTGCGCCAGCCGGGGGGGGGCGCGCGGAGACACCTCGGCAGCCTGCGCGGGGGATTCCTGGTGGGGGGCCCTGAGAGGTGCTACCCTCACCACAGGGGGTGTCTCCTCCCCTCCTGCACAGCCTTTGATGTAGGCTGCGCAGGATGCGGGGAATCTGCAAGGGGGGAGGGAGGGGTGGATCAAAGGGAGAGGGAGCAGAGGGACAGCAGGCAAAGGGGGAGGGGGGTGGACAGTGGCAATCTAATTATCTCACTTCTATCAGAAATGCTAAGTCAAGCCTGAACAAATTCTAGATGATGATCTTTGAAAAATGTCCCAGCTGAATGGAAGATAAATGTTAAACACAAGCTGTACTCCAATAATAGGTAAAGCATCCAGACACTTTGGAATTTAGATTCTCAGTCTCACAATGTTCTGTTTGCAAAGTATTTTGCAGATCGCCATAGTAATCAAGAGATCAATATTCTTTGTGTGTTTTTTATGTATTTTTTTCTGCAGGGCTTGGGCAGCAATCTCCCAGCTGCTGGCATCTCAGCACAGATCAATAAAATATGTTTCATTATAACTTTGTCCCCTGAAGGCACCTCTTTTCCCATCTGTGTCACATTACGGATATATCCTATTGTTTTCCTAGTTTCCCTAGCGTTTTGGAATCTTTCCACATATTCAGTAAAAACCGAAAGCTTCTTCCTGCAGCTGACAAAATAGAGTCCCCTGCCTACAACAAGGGACAGTTTTATGCCTGGCCTGATTCTGATTATTATTTCTTGTTAAGGGAGTGCTGACAGTACATGCTATAAGTTTATGAAGAATACTGAACTTAAACAATGCTAAAGATAACAGGGAAACATCATTGCACGTGCTTGACCTTAAAATGTAAATCAGAATGTGAGCTGAGATTTCCTTTATGGCTGCTTTCCAATTCTTTTTTTATTCTCACCTGATCTGACAAAGTGTTTTCCACTGTTGTAGAAAATCCCCATAGATCTAGTTCAGAAACATAAAACATGAACATCATACAGGGAAAGAGCACACCGAAGGCAGATGGATTTTGTCTATTAATGTATTTAGTATTTAAATGTCATATAGTACTGGCATTTAACTGTAGTTACAGATAACTTGATTGTAGAGGGAGATGTGAAGAATATTTAAAAGGTCGGTCTCATAAAAGTCATGAGGCAGATAGTTTAACTTAATGGGTCAAAAAATTTAAGCAACTTATCTAAGTAATTAACTCCACAAAATGGCCAAATCACCCATGAGACATATCTAGCTTGTACATGTCACTTTTCTCAAAAACACATAGTTTTAGCTGCTTATGGGTTATCATCACACTAAACTATTGTAAGGTAATCAGCACTAAGTTTATTGAAATTTTGAGACTGTTGTAGCTACATATATTTTAAAGAATGTGTAACCACATCATTTCATATTCCTGATATGTGTCCATTGTACCATGTACTTGTGTTAAAAAGTATCCTGTTCTCTTTGTATGTCTTCCTTTTTGTGAAATACCTGGTGATCCTGCCAATCCCCCTGCTTTCCAATTTCAAGGTGACCGTGCTAGGCATGTGAAGGGATGGGCACTGCTCAACCGAACCCAGGAGTCCAATATTGAGGTGTGGCCTCAGTCGCTGTTCTGGCCATGCCCTCTGATGTGTTTTGCCCGCCCACTGGGGCTTGGTCACAGAGGTAGTGTCAGGCTCCGCCCAACGGGATCTCTAGTGGTCCACAGCACGGGGTTTCCCAGGACGCGGAGTCTAAGTCCCAGTCTGCCTTTTCACCAGAGCCCCTGATGGTGGGGATGGACTTGGTGCAAGACTGGAACCAGGTCGCGTCCCTGGGCACCCCCCGGCGGTGGCAGAGGGGTCCCGCTGAGGGTATGTGCCCGGGATGAGTCTGCTGTGAAGGGGATGACAGACCCCGATCCAAGCGGGATGGATGGGATGACAGATCCCGATCCGAGCGGGATGGATGGACGACTGCTAGGAGTGAGCAAGGTCAGACTAGCCGGGTCGGTATCGTGCGGGCAGCGTGGTACAGGGGGAGCAAGCGGAGAATGGTCGGGGTCACAAGCCAGGTTCAGAAGGTAGCGGGCAGCGTGGTACCGAGGGTCAGGCAGAGGGATGGTCAGGAACGAGCCGGGGTCAGAGCAGGAGAGGGTCAGCGTAATCAGAACAGGCAGAGTTTGGCAACAAGGAAACGTACTAGCAGGAACACAGGAACAGGAACAAGACCTAGCGGCACTTTGGAAATGCACAGGGCAGATTTAAATAGGGTGCCCTGTGTTTCCATTGGTGCGGCCGCGATTGCTACTGCGCATGCGCGGCCGCCGCCGCGATCTCTGTGTTCGCCGGCCAGGAAGAATCGGCGATCTGCGCATGCGCGCGATGCCGAGCGGCCGGGATCCCTGACAGGTAGGCAAGACACGCTAGGCATGAAAACACATCTATATTAGCATGGTCAGTTTTCTGCCTTTGTTGGGATTACAGCTTTCCTGTCCTCCATTGGCCAAAACAGCCATTCAGTGAGAAGATCAGTGTAGTGCTCTTTCTCCACCCACTACCTTTCTAAGCCCCTTATGCAGTTGAGAACAGAGATTATGAAAAAAAGAAAAAAAGGTACCTATAAGGTATTTATAATGTTTTTATAAACAGGGGTTTCCAGGGCTTCATAGGACTGAGATTGAGCTCTGCAGTCACTTTTACAGCAGTTGTTTTCTTATTCCAGGTCACAATACTACGCAATGTCTTTTTTTCTATCTCTCAGTCAGTTGACCATGTCAACCGTGCTTATGCTTACCAGACAATGTATTCCCGGGAACTGTATATGCTGTCAAAACCTTTAATATTGTACTTCACAACACGGCAAATACATTGGCAACTTTAGTCACAGAGGCACCAGCTAAGAGGGTACCAACAATTTGCTCTCTTCAAAGCTCTGACATGACTCCGTATTACTAGCAGCACACGCAGTGAATGACGAAAGTGAGGCTTACCACCTGTTAGCTAGGTGTCATATCACACAGCGAAGGCAAAATAATGTTACATTATTTCTGCTTTCAGTGTGAAACACGTCATCACTCTCCCATCTGCAAATCATGTAGTGTTTTTAATTTTTTTTGTCTAACCCCTGTATACAGTATACACAAGCGTTTTGCCTTTCATATTTATTTTAACCACCTTCCGCACACCCCATAGTACAAAGACGGGCGCAAGGTGGTTCTCTTGTTCTGATAGGACGTCATATGACGTCCTACCATTCTCACTGCGCATGTGCAGCTCAGGGAGCGCGCAGCGCAGCGATCGCCGATCCGCTGTGTCCCTCGGACACAGCGGATCATGGAAAGAGCCGAAGATGTCGGCTCGGTCATGTGATCAGCTGTGTCCAATCACAGCTGATCACATGTAAACACGGAAATGCCGGTTATCGGCATTTCTCTCCTCTCGAGAGGAGAGTCGGTAATCGGCTTTCCGCGGAGGGGACATGTACACTGATCATCAGGGCACTGATGATAAGTGTGCCCTGATGATCAGTGTGGCCACAGAAGTGCCACCTGTCAGTGCTCATCAGTGCCAGTGCCCATCAGTGCCACGTGCCACGTGCCAGTGCCCATCAGTGCCACATATCAGTGCATACCAGTGCACATCAATGCCACATATGAGTGCATACCAATGTACATCAATGCCACATATCAGTGTCCATCTGAGCTGCCTTTCAATGTCACCCATCAGTGCCAGTCAGTGCCACCTATCAATGCCAATCAGTGCCACCTATCAGTGCTGCCAATCAGTGCCGCCTATCGGTGCCAGTCAGTGTCACCTATCAGTGCCAGTCAGTGCCGCCTAACAGTGCCAGTCAGTGCTGCCTAACAGTGCCAGTCAGTGCCACCTATCAGTGCCAGTCAGTGCTGCCTATCAGTGCCGCCTATCAGTGCCATATATCAGTGCCATGCATCAGTGCTGCCTTTCAGTGCCCATCAGTGATGCCTGTCAATGCCCATCAGTGCAACCTACCAGTGCCTCCTCATCAGTGCCCATCAGTGCCACCTATCAGTGTCCATCACTGCAGCTTATCAGTGCCCATCACTGCAGCCTCATTAGCGCACATCAGTGAAGGAGAAAAATCACGTATTTACAAAATTGTATAACAAAAACTAAGAAAAAACTTTTTTTTCCAAAATTTTCAGTGGTTTTTGGTTTGTTTAAGAAAAAATAAAAATCCCAGAGGTGATTAAATACCACCAAAAGAAAGCTCTATCTATCTAAAAAAAATGATACAAATTTCATATGGGTACAATGTTGCATGACCGTGCAATTGTCATTCAAAATGTGACAGCGCTGAAAGCTGGAAATTGGCCTGGGCAGGAAGGGGGTATAAGTGCCCTGTCGGCTAGTGGTTAAACTGAATTAGCTGTTTTGCAAGGTAAGCATTCACATATCCTTACAGCTATTTCTTCTCTAGATTGATGGGTGAATCTGCTCAGTTTAAACCTGCTGAAGGTTCAGCAAATTTGGTTTGAAGTTTGGGAAACCTGAATTTAGCAGCAAATCCCTCTGAAGTCTTATAAGTGCATACTGCTTAAATTCTCACTATGTTGAGGGGTAAAAGGGAAACTATTAGCTTTCAGCGCTGTTGCACTTTGAATGACAATTGCACGGTCATGCAACACTGTGCCCATATGACATTTTTATCATTTTTTGACAGATAGAGCTTTATTTTGGTGGTATTTAATCACCTCTTGGTTTTTTTTTATTATTATTTTCTTAAACAAACCAAAAACCACTGAAAATTTTGAAAAAAAAAAAACATTTTTTTCTTAGTTTTAGTTATAACATTTTGTAAATAAGTGATTTTTCTCCTTCACTGATGTGCACTAATGAGGCTGCAGTGATGGGCACTGATAGGCTGCACTGATGGACACTGATAGGTGGCACTGATGAGGAGGCACTGGTAGGTGGCACTGATGGGCATTGACAGGCATCACTGATGGGCACTGAAAGGCAGCACTCATATATGGCACTGATAGGCGGCACTGACTGGCACTGTTAAGCGGCACTGATAGGCAGCACTGATGCACACTGATAAGCGACACTGACTGGCACTGATAGGGGGCACTGACTGGCACTGATAGGTGGCACTGACTGGCATTGATAGGTGGCACTGATGGGTGACACTGAAAGGCAGCTCAGATGGGCACTGATATGTGGCATTGATGTGGCACTGATGGGCACTAAAATGTGGCACTGATGTGTGGCACTGATGGGCACTGGCAGGTTGCATGGATGAGCACTGAAAGCTGGCACTGATGGACACTGACAGGTGGCGCTGCTGGGGCTACACAGATCATCAGGGCACACTGATCATCAGTGCTCTGATGATCAGTGTACATGTCCCCTCCGAGGAATGCCGGTTACCGGCTCTCCTCTCCTCACGAGCTGTCAGCGTGACAGCTCGTGGGGAGAGAATTGCCGATAACCGACATTTCCCTGTTTACATGTGATCAGCTGTGATTGGACACAGCTGATCACATGACTGAGCCGACATCTTCGGCTCTTTCCGTGGATCGGTGATCCGCTGTGTCCGAGGGACACAGCGCACCGCCAATCGCCGCACTGCGTGCTCTCGGAGCCAAGCATGCACGGTTAGAAGAATGGGAGGACGTCATATGAGGTCCTCCCAGAACAAGAGAACCACCTTGCGTCCGTCATATTACTATATGGCGCGTGGGGAGGTGGTTAAGCAGTAATAGACCTAAATTGGCCAGCCACAACAGATCCTAAAGCTATAGGAAGGTTTCCTCTGAAAAAAAATTAAACTTAATAATTTGGCCAGTGGAAAAACAGTTTGATGATATAGTTTACAGTTGCAAGAAAAAGTATGTGAACCCCTTGGGATTACGTGGAGTTTTGTATGAATTGGGCATAAAATGTGCTCTGAACGTCATCTAAGTCACAACAATAGAAGAACACAGTCTGCTGAACATAATACTACACAAACATTAGATGTTGCCATGGTTTAATTGCACATAACGTGTAAACATTCACAGTGCAGGGAGGAAAAAGTATGTGAACCTTTGGACTTAATAACTGGTTGACCCTCCTTTGGCAGCAATAACCTCAACCAAACATTTCCTGTAGTTACAGATCAGACCTGCACAACGATCTGGAGTCATTTTGGACCACTCCTCTTCACAAAACTGTTTCAGTGTAGCAATATTCTTGGGATGTCTGGTGTGAATCGCTCTCTTAAGGTCATGCCACAGCATTTCAATCAGGTTGAGGTCAGGACTCTGACTGGGCCACTCCAGAAGGCGTATTCTGTGCTGTTGCAGCCATTGTTTTGTTGAATTACTTGTATGCTTTGGGTCATTGTCCTGTTGCATCACCCATCCTCTGCGGAGCTTCAGTTGGCGGACAGATGGTCGTACGTTTTCCTGCAAAATGTCTTGATAAACTCTGGAATTCATTTTCCCATCAATGACAACAATCCGTCCAGCCCTGAGGCAGCAAAGCAGCCCCAAACCATGATGCTCCCTCCGCCATGTTTTACAGTGGGGATGAGGTTTTGATGTTGGTGTGCTGGGCCTTTTTTTCTCCACACATAGTGTTGTGTGTTTCTCCCAAAAAACTCAATCTTGGTTTCATCTGTCCACAGTATATTTTGCCAGTAGTGCTGTGGACACATCCAGGTGCTCTTTTGCAAACTTCAAACGTGCTGCAATATTCTTTTTGGACAGCAATGGCTTCCTCCGTGGTGTCCTCCCATGTACTCCATTCTTGTTTATGTTTTCCTTATTGTAGATGTGTCAACAAAAATGTTAGCATGTGCCAGAGATATCTGTAGGTCTTTAGCTGACACTCTGGGATTCTTCTTTACCTCATGCAGCATTCTGCGCTGTGCTCTTGCAGTCATTTTTACAGGACAACCACGCCTAGGGAGAGTAGCAACAGTGCTAAACTTTCTCCATTTGTAGACAGTCTGTCTTACCATGGAGACATGAACATAAAGGCTTCTGGAGATACTTTTGTAACCCTTTCCAGCTTCATGCAAGTTAACAATTCTTGATCGTAGGTCTTCTGAGAGCTCTTTTCTGCGAGGCATGGTTCACATCAGACAGTGCTTCTTGAAACCAGTAAACCCAAAACAGGTGTGTGTTTTTTAAGGGCAGGACAGCTGTCAGCAACACATCCAATATCATCACACTGATTGGAGTCAAGGTTGGCTCACTCCTGGCTCCAATTAGCTCTGGGAGAAGTCATTAAGCTAGGGCCTCACATACTTTTTCCTCCCTGCACTGTGAATGTTTACATGTTATGTGCAATTAAACCATGGCAACATCTAATGTTTGTGTAGTATTATGTTCAGCAGACTGTGTTCTTCTATTGTTGTGACTTAGATGACGTTCAGAGCACATTTTATGGTCAATTCATGCAAAACTCCACGTAATCCCAAGGGGTTCACATACTTTTTCTTGCAACTGTATGTGCTTCTTCTATGCATAGTACCACACTGCACTGTCCTAAATATTTAAAGAATGTTAAAACAGACTGCACAAAAACACCTGAAATCCTAAAACCGCCTTTTAAAAATAAAGTATATTATCTAATGAAGTATAGCCTACACATTGAACAGTGGATGGACAGTGTATATGCAGCCTGGTTGCCAGTGGAAAGACAAGGCAGGTTTTAACTTGAAGTATAAATTAGAGTGCATTATCTGAGATATAATAGCCACATATATTGTACAGTGGGTAGACCGTATATAAGCAACTTCGCTAACTGCAATACCATTTTAATAATGTTGAGACAAAATGCTGTATTTACCCTACAGCAAACATTTGAAATTGTGCAGCTGAGGCCAATTTACCAAAATATTATATAGCTGAGAGAATTTTTAAATTTTGTATATGCACATGTATTTCATTTTGTACATCTATTTCAGCCAATGGGCCTGGTCGCTGTGGTTTTAAAAAATTCTGAAAGTGGTGCTAAGGCATGTTAGTCTTCAGAGAGGATCCTGCCATCATCAGGCAAAGAGGTTCTTATGCACTGCTTCCTCAAAGTGCCACATTTCGGCTCCTTCTGGGGTTGATGCAGGTGGTCAGCCATTGTACAGTATTGGGGATCTAATAAGGTGGCTACCAAATAATGGTCCCTTTTTTAATCCTGGTGCCCTTGTGCAGGCATTTAAGGAAAAAGACCCCAAGACTTCTTCTCTTAGTCACTGAAATTGCCACCAGCACCATCTAAACAACACCCCCAGCCAAGAGGTCCGCAGAGATTCCACACTGAGTTTGCCTATTAACATCCATAGCCAGAATGTAGAATTAGATCCCCAGTAGGAAAAAATGGAAAAAGGAAACACTAAGTATACTTGTACAATTATTTGGTATAATATAGGCAAGAACAGGATGTAAATAAAACCATCATGAACATATTAAGTACCACAGAATAACAAAAAAATTTTAAACGGTATAAAAAAGGGGATTAAGATGAAAAAAACAACCAATAGATCTTCCTATTTATGATGGAAAGTGCTCCAAAGAAAATCATCGTCAGGGAATCTAATCAAAAATTGTAAGAGAGGCAGCATGGGAAGGGGTGCCTGTAGCAAAAGAGCTGCATATAAAAAACACTTACTAAGATTGCATTAAGAGGGCTCAATCCTTTGGGCCCGATAGCATGGGTAGGCGACCGCCCCTCCCTCTTTTAATTTAAAAAATTAAATTTTATATATATATATATATATATACACTGTATATATAAGGTTACTGTGCCTTTAAATTTTAAAGAGAGTTTGGGCAGGAAAACAAGTAGCATATGACCTGGGAGAAAATTCAAGAAGGTCACATGACTAGTGGAAAGTTCTAGAACAGTGGGGCTTGGCAGAAGATTGCCAGCTGGTCAGTGTCAGTGCAACAAGCTCCAGCAAGCTATAATACATAGAGAGCTTGTTGCCACAGACCTGACCATGAAGACGCTGATGAGGAGAGTATTGGAGCGAGCTGGCACCATCGGAGGAGAAAAATGCCTCAGGAAATACCTTCAGATGGCTGAAGTGGCTGAAGAGCATGAGGAGCAGCAGGAGCAAGTGGAAGAGACAGCGGAAGATAAGGCTTAAGACTCACTGGGATGTCATCAGGACAGAGGGAGACCAGCGGCTAGGAGTCCCAATTATCGCTGACAGAGAACCGGCGTGGCCCATTGCTGCATTCAAAATCCTTCCCCGGGTCAACAGGATGACCTTCCGGAGCAGCAGGAAGAGGTGGCATGAAGTGTGGGAAGCAGCAGGGTAAATCCCATGAGAAGAAGAAGGGTGCAGTCCCCATCGCTGCCCAGAAGGCGAGATAGGAGGGCCCAACACTCAGCTTTGAATAAGGTGGCTGTGGAGTCGGTGGCTGCTGAAGAGGTTGCTAGACAACCGACTCTGCTTTCCTCTGGGCAGAAAGGTCAAGTGACTGACACAGTGGAAGAGCCTGTGCATGTTATCCCATCCATAACCAGCGGGGGAAGAATGGGTCGGCACAGGGCTCCTATGGAACAAGCCATTAAGCTAGAGACATCTAGTGGTGAGTTAGCAGATTTATTGCATTGTATTTTGTATTCTGTTAAAAAAATAGCTAACAATATTCCTGCTTCTGTCAATACTCTTACTAATTATGCGGCTGTTTTGGTCAAATGCGTTAGGTAATTCCAATTCAAGGGATAATATTTTTCCCATCAATAATTCTATCGGAAATTTTGCGAGCAATATTTTGCCTTTGGTACAGTCTTAAACACCTAATTTGTCTATTAATAATTCAGCAGTTCCTGAGACGTGTCTAAAGGAGGTATTGCCTTCCTTCCTCTACCCAAAACCCAATAGATTGCTTAACATCACCTCCAGCTCAGAAGTACAAAGAAAAAAAATAAGCAAACTTTTAATAAGTGACTTTACTCCCATCTTCTAAAGATCTTACACATAAATCAGAAAAAAAATATCCAAAAAACTGATGACGACAGACGGAGACCAATGGCAAGATCATCATTAACAATTGGTTACAGTCCCATTCACCTATTTAAGTAGTGTTTTGGGCAAAAAAAGTTCACCCAAAATCTTTACAGTGATCTCTCAGCATTTGACTTTATTGGACCGCATATAAAAAGCTTCGGTGATTATTCCAGAAAATGACTCTGTCACATCTGCCATCAAAAAAAAAAAAAGAACTCAACATGCTTTTAACGAAAATTATATATTTTGTGCCACACGTGTAACATGCAAAATCCAAAACTAAAAGTTGCACAGCAATCGGAGATCTCAAGGGTATTAAATTGTTAAAAACTTCACTGCATTACAATAAACGAAGAGATAACTTTCCCCCAAAAAATCTTACACACCAGTAGAAATTAACAAACGTGCTTATTGGCTGAAAATATCTACACAGAGATCATATATCTTTCCTGCCTTTGAAACAGCCTTAAAAAGACGGTTTCCAGTTATATATTTTTTTGGATCAATTTATATTTAGTTAACAA